AGGGGATTTTAAAGAATACATAGACTGGAGAAACGAGGCATCTAACAACATGGCTATTTTGAAAAGCGCATTCAAGAATAGAAAAACACAATCTCATGATCACATTTATGCGAAACTTTGTGAAGTGAAAGTTGATGATTCGTTACAAAATGATCTATTATGCATTGGGGTAATTGACTTTAGCTCAGATAGATACCAACTTTCGGGAAATAACTATAAAGATCTTGTGGTATGAAGTAAAAGTTAACTCTATCAATTAATAAAAATGTGTTAACCGTTTTCTATTAAAATATTTTTATTAGAGAGAAAAGGCCGATATAAGAGAGTTAACCAAAAGTGCTAGAATTAAAAAATTATATGCCAACTTTGTAGTAGGAAGAAATGAATTTAGTCAGTTATGCAAATTTGTATTATTGCTATCAGAAATGGTAACATATGACCAGTGGGTTGAAGAAGAATATGAGAAAGAATGTGTAGTAAGAGGAATTATCGACGTACTTCTACAAGAAATAAAACTAAATGTGCTTTATAAGGTTACTCATGGTTCAGAAAATTCTCTTGTAGAAATTATAGCTCGATTAATAGACACCGCTATGTACCGCTTGCCTGTAGGCTATGAAATTGAGATTACAAGGGCTGAGCGTCAAAGTATAGCTAGTAAAAATCGTAAGGTTCAACAACAAAAGGGATCAAGAAGAAATAAACCAGACCTTATGATTCGTATGCTTTTACACAAAAAATAGAAAGAAATTGTATACCTTAAGAGTGGAAAATGGAACTGTGATAATGAAAAAATTTGTAACGATCATAACAAATTAGTGCAATTCTGTTTAGACGGAACCGAAGAGCTTTTTAAAATTTGTGAAAAGGGTTCTCTTAATAAAAATTATATAGGATTTATTATTAATATTGCAGGTAAGTATATAGAAATACATAGATTGATACGCGAAAAAGATATTAAATATTACCTTCCCATTTTGCGAGCAAAAATATCTTTCGAAGACGAATCAGCCAATGAAGTTGAGGAATTCGTATATGCCTTATTGATTTTACGAGTACCGTATATTACCGAATAGAAGCTACCCCCGAATAAAAGCTACCCCCTCGATTTTGGATTAAAAATTTGGGGAAAGTTATTATGTTTTAATAATAAAATTGGACCCGAATAGAAGCTACTCCCTCTCTTTAGTCCGAAAAACTCTCAAAATTTTGGTAGCTTCTATTCGGTAATATACGGTAAGTATTTATTGTTTATAAATATTATAAAACAAAATTATAATGCTAATGCTCGATTTTTAGAATAGAATGATCATAAATGCGCAAGGTATTGTCAATTCAAAAAATATCTTGATAGTATTATTTGTGAGGCGTAACAAATCACATATATGTATGCAGTTTGAATGTGAAATTTTTCTATAACTAACCCGTGGAGTATCTTTTGGTGATGAAGTGTATTTTTGCTATTTATTCTGGTTTATAAGCCACTCATATACCTTTTTATATAGAAACTGATACCTCTCTGCTTTAAGATCTTTCCATAATTTTCGGGGTTGGGATGATACCCTGTTGGTTGATAGAATAATAACTGGCAAACTAAGGCCAATTCCTCATCAGTACTAATTATAATACTAGGTTGGTTCATTTTTGATATGTTTTACTTTATTAATAAATTATTATTTGGTAAAGTTTCTAGAAGTGTCAATATATTATAGGCTTGTACAATGCCATCAGATACAATAGTGTCTCTACCTAGTGAAACAATCAAAAAATTCGAAGCTAGTTTGCAGATAATAAAAAATCGATTTTGTAAATTACAATGGGATCTAGACTTAAAAAAGAGTTACATTAAATATCTCGAAAATGAAATTTTGATTCAAGATAGAGAACTGGATCCATTATGACAGGAAATTTCTGATATTAAAGAACGGTTGGAAAAAACACTTCAAGATTCTAAAAGCCAAGAGAATTATATAGACTATTTGGAAAAGCAGTTAGTAATTTTTTAAGATGAAATAAACAAGCTTAATGAAAAAATAAAAATACTTATTTTATATAAAAATAGCAATGATAATATAGATATGGCTCAACAACCAGAATCGCCCAGATTATCTTTACTCAAAAATCAAGCTACGATTCAGAATTATAGAATTCAGTGAGAGGTTGATAATATTAGATGGTATTTTCAAGGCCCAACTACAATAACATCTATATTAAATGATATTGTAAATTATCTTAACATATTCTCTGATGCTGGTAATAGGCTTGAATGATTGGTACTAGAAATATACCCATGGGCAAATGCTCGTGCAATTAATGCTGAAAACCGAGTAGCAAATTTGCAAACCCAGCTAACAAATTTGCAAACCCAGTTAGCTAATTTACAAATCCAGTTAAACACACTTTAAAATGACTATAATCTTCTTCATCAGGCTTATGAGGCCTACAGAACGCAATATGTATATTTAAATCCCAAGAACTTGATGTCAAATTACAATCTGTACGCAAAAAAGACAAATATCAAAATTACTTCTAGAAAAATTTGCATTGGGATTCAAGAATAGACGAATCCAACAGCAATTACAAGATTGTAAGACAGATAAAGCAATTACTATGCACCTCTTAAATCTTACAAAAAATCGATATAGCAAATGGAAAAATAAATACAAGACTCTAGAAAATGATTTATTACTTGCTGATGTTCAACTAGACAACAAGTGGGGTAAGTAGAAAAATCGGGCTCGAAATTTTGAACAATTAATAAATAATTTACAAGCACAAATTTTATTGTTATATAATAATCCACCAAATATAGCTACAGTTGCAGGAGACTTAACTAGTATTGCACCATTAATTGCAGAGATTTCAAATTATAGTGGACAAATTCCACCAGATAAATGGTATCAAAGAATTAATTAAATATTAATTTTACTATCGATTACGGTAGCTGCCTTTGATAATCCGCTTCGAGCAGATATTTTAAAAATTAAAATGGCTAAAAATTATACAAATTTACCTGCTCAACATGCTGGTAATAATATTGATACCCCAGCCTGTTCTATTATTTGGTTGTATCATAAATATCAAACAAAAATAGTTGATACACAACAAGTTACTACTCAAAGATTAGCACAAGAAAAATTCTTACTATTTGATAATTTAAAATCATATGAAGCTAGGATACAACCTCTTTTATTAGAAGTTGCTGATGCTGATGCCAATATTTTAGAACTTCTTAAAGATCATTTATCAGGAGAGCTTTATACTTGGATAAAAA